AGGTGAGGGACGCTTTCATTTTCTTCATCTAATGAGAAGCTCCTTCGTAATATCAGGCGCTTTAATGCTTTTACATAAGCGTACAGCGGGTCAAGAGCCAGGGCAGGATGTAGATGACAAAGATTGTCCTTGATCCTGCTTGTAGTTTTACAAGTACATTTACACGAACAAAGTCCTGTGTCCCTGTGATGCAGCTGCATGTGGACGACTGCTAATTTTAGTGATATTTTTAATCAATAAAATATACAGATACATACACATACATAAATAAATGCATATGCATGTATACTGTATATATACTGTATACTGCATATGCATATATGCATTTTTGTCATCTTTTATTTTGCTGTTTTCTTCCTTGAGGTGAATTGTGAAGTCAATACTTCATCATCGGATTATAACCATTTTTTTGTTGTTTTTTATGTTTAATATTCCAATGAGAAAGGACACAGCGTTATTTACCTGTAAAAGAAAAACGTCTTTTGAATCTCCTTTACAAAAGAGCTTTTTCAGCAGAATTATTTTCTGTTTTTTAATCTTTCAAAAAAAAAAAAAAGAAAGCGCTTACATACTAACTGACCTTGCACCTCCAAAGAGGAGGTTTGATGCTTTTAATCCCAAAAGCACACTTTGCCTGAACAACAGGGGTGTTCATTTGTTCTGCAAGGACAAACCTGATTAGTTGTGAAGCAAACACTGTGGCGCTTCAGTCTCGTCAGCACGTGTCCCGCAGCGAGCACTCATCAGGATCGGGGGCAGCGTTAATGTACGACGGCTCACATTCGCTGCTCTTAAAATTGGTTGTCCTTCAGGTGATAGAGGTTACAGACAGCCATACATTGGCTGCCAGTAACCATGATGCATTGCTTTCAGGTCATTTACTGGTGATGGAGCAAGTGATGATTCAGTCAGAGCTGGTCATGAATCACCACTAATGTGGTCGCCTCCTGTGTGGTGTTGTTGAGCTGGAGAAATATCTTTCCAGTTTGTAGTCAGGGCTTAGAAGGTTCTGATGAGATGAAGTTCTAATGAAACCCCACAGTGTTTCATTCATCTGGTGAGATATTTCCACAGCCTTTGATATATGAGAAGGAACTCCACACCCTCCTCAGCCCATCACACCTCAACCCTGGGCATCAAGAATGCATTACATGAGCTCTGAAAACACACGGTGGATATGTCACAGCCAAACCAATGGTTTAACCCTCCTGGGACTGTGGGCATGTTGCCAGGATGAATGATAATTTCAGCACAGTGTCTACTCATCTAACCAGAACACACACACATGGCCTGTTTAAGTGGGCACTTAATCCTTCAGTGACTGACAGTCAATGAGGAAACCGTGTCCAAATAGCAGAAATATTTTTTTTTTGTGTGTGTGACATTTATAGTTCCTTAATAGTATAAGTGGAAGGTTTTGATTTATTGATCTTTGAATTGATGCCTTGAAATAAAGGTTTTTTGTTCCCTGTTGGTTTATGTGTGGAGCAAACATCTAATCTTTACCTGATGTAACAGATGGAGGAGGAAGAGAACTGGAAAGCCATGTAGTTTATCTGATGCTCTGTGAAGTCTTGTTGTTGTTCTTCACAGGCGACATGTTATCTTTATTATTTCTAGATCTTTGTACAGTTCTAAAAATAACTACGTTGGTATTTTTTTTATTAATATTTAGGTATCTTAGGTAAAGAAATGTTGGGGGAAAAATCCCTAACACTCAGTGGTTGACACTTGTTGAGAACTATGACTCAACGGAGCATCTGACAGTAAATCACTGTGGTTTCCAACTGACAGACTTTCTTTATTCTCGTTTTATTGCTCACTTCAGTTCAAATAACCTCCAAGCCCTTTGACAATTTGAGGATGTGAGTACAAGGTAATATATTTATAGAAATTGCATTGCCTCAGTCTCATGTCAAAGTCTATATTCATTTTTCCACAAAAGGAAAATAGAAGATTCAGTGGTTACCACACGGCTGCTTGTAGGTCAAGGGGATTTCAATAAAGTTGAGTCTCTTAAGCCGTGTCGTCCTGTGTTTGTACTTTTAGCTCCAGTTCCATCTATCATGTTTTTTTTGTTTGTTTTTTTAAAGACCAATGCTCCCTGACCCCATTACTACTTACGCTCCTTTTCCCTGTTTGTTCTGCAGCTTCTTTACATTGATTGCACTTTCTCTCGCCTCAGCAACGCCCCGTCTTTCACCTTGAAGAATCAGAGGGTGTAAAACAGCCAGTGTTCAGACGCGACAGGGTGCAAGTTTAAGGTAAATCCAAACCCTGCGGCTCAAGAGCCACACGCCAACCTTACTTCATGTTCACTGTGGGATGGCCTGATCTCAAAATATTTACCTTTAGCTGCAACAAAACCTGATTTTAAGCCCTTCTGTTCTTTTCCTGCGCATTTGTCACATATCATCCCTGCCAAGAAACAACATTAGGACAACAAGAGCAAACACTGGCTCTCGCTCAATAACAGTCTGTTTGTCAAGAACCTTTCTCCGAATTATAAACAGCATATTGACAATTTGACGGATAAACTGAGTCCGGCCATCTAAATTCATCTAATAAGCTGTAATTGGCATTTACTTAGCGTCTGAAGCTCTGCTCTGTGTTGCATGGGATTCATTTTTCCTATTTATTTTTGTTTCAGACCACACCAGTGTACATTCTGCTGCTCATATTCCAGTATTTCTTGACATGGACTGAAATGCACCGACAGGACTGTGTGAGTTGTTTCTTTTTTTTTTCAACTAGGATTTAGCTCAAAAAGACATTTAAGCCTCAGATTAATAAAGGTGTTACATTCAAGAATTAAACTGTTATATTTAAATAGGACAAAACACATTCATATTTATTATGATGTCATCTTTACAGTGTGTGTGCTCAGTGAAAACAAATCTCTGTAGATGAGATGAAAGAGAGACAATGTTGGCTTCAGCTGGCATGATGCTGGCCTAACAGATGTTTGATGTGACAAACAGCCTCACCATCACCAAAATACATTTCAATGGTGTTAAAACCTCATTTAGGTGAATATCCGTCGTTGAATCCAAATTTTCTACGTTTGAACAGTGGAACAGTAACTCCACTTACATTTAAACATTTCCTTTTCATTTCGGTGTCACTGCACCAGCCACGAGTATATTTAAATTTTAACATTTTAATATGAGCTATATTTGCTCTTGACAACCCGATGTCTAACTCCAGACTCAGACTGTCACAACCAGAAAATGATAAAAGCTCTGAATATGTTCGTCAGACAGACAGTGCAGGCATCCACTGAAACAATCAAGTGCCAACTGCATTTCCTCAGGGCGCTTTCATATGTAGGACGAGAAATGTTCCCATGAGAGAACTGAAAGAAGTGGAGGAGAATTAAAGAGAGAGAGAGAGACAGATAGATAGATAGATAGATAGATAGATAGATAGATAGTGTTGTCTTCTAAATGAGTAAACACAAAGCACAATACAGTCGTGGTGCAAATTCTGTGTCTGTGCACCCACAATTAGTGCACGGATATGTCACTCAAGGACACAAACGTTTAAAATCAACTTGTTTGAGTCAATGTCTTGTTAATGGTAACATAAATAATCCTAAATATTGTGTTGTACTGAAAGGTCTAGCATTAAAACGTTTTGGTCAGCCACTGTAAACATTAATTTAATTATTTTTTGTGCACATAAAAACCGACACATCACTTCTGCCAAACACGGTGACTTATTTGTGTTTTGTGTTGTGCATGACGCATTTTTGTACAGCTACAGGAGCGTACAGTGTCTAATTTGTACTTACTTGCTGCCACCAAGAAAATGTCGCTGCCGAAAAGCAACAGGAACACGGAGTTGAGCAAAAGAATCAGACGAGCCATGTCTCTCAGGATGTCGTTGTTTTTCTCGGGTTGAGCAAACGAAATCGCAGGTCACTTACAACATGTTTCCTTAAATTCCTTCCAGGAATAAACAAATGTCTTAACGGCCACTGGTTTAAAATCTCCCCGAGCTGCCGAGCCCTGGAAACAGGTGAAACAGTGAAAGTGTGAAGCAAACAAAATGTATCTTGACCAACATTTTGCGAAGCCCAGACGTCTTTGTTTGAGCTTTGTATCCGTCACCAGTCTCTCTGTCCTCGTCCCTGCGCAGACAGAACGATGTGGGAGCAGCTGAGCTGGTGGACTTCCATCATCACGGATTCACATCGGTGTCTTCAGGTACGAACAGGTTGGTGAGGAAAGATGACGTTCACGGACAGGAGAGACGTCTGTCCCCCCGCAGGCAGAGGGGACGGAAGACGGAGGTTCAGCACCATGGACAGCGCACCAAGTTTCTCAGCCTCCGTGTGTGCGTGTGCGTGCGTTTTCAGCTTTCCATCTGAATCTGTCTCCAATCCTCATATACCGCCTTGTTTCTCCTTCTCCTCCCCCTCCTTACAACACCCCCACACCCAGCCAGTCAGACTCTCAGGTTTCGAATCAAGTGGACGAACTGCATACAGCATAACCGCCAATGCTCCACGTGTTATAAATATGAACTACCTGATTGGCAGCAACTCTTCACATCATTGAATGCTTTCTCAACTGTTGCCTTAAGCTATAAGGTATTATTACACAGGTTTGTGGAGCAACAGCGGGTTATTTCACCAAAGAAACAACCATGAATCGGCCGTAAACAGTAGAGCACACGCATTATATAATATTCATTTAGAATTTAAATCAATCCTAACACAGCTATACCCCACCATCATACCCTCAGACATCCTGTTATCAGGATGATGGATCACGGTGATAGCCGAGTGCATCGTCTTCTGGGACAGAAAATGCATCCACGTGGACAATTAAAAAAGTGATTTGGAACCAGATTTTGATATTTAGAATTTGAATTTTTAGAAAAAAAGGAATTCTAAAAAATAGACACACTTTCCCTGTGTGAGCTGTAGCAGGTGGGGTTTTTAAAGGCTGATAAACTTCAGGTATTAGATATTGCTGTTGCCATGACAGCTGCCTTTTTGCAGCTGACATTTCTGTGGCATTTGTCTCAATAAAAGCCTTAGACTATTTGTCCCCACAAGTAGTGAGATGAAGGGTCATTTTGGTAAACATCTACCACTCTACTCTTTGTCCTCGATTTTAAATAATATTAGGAGTCAGTTGTCATTAAACAGTAACTGAGATGCATTTTAAATCCTCAATAGTTGGTTTCAATGTCAAAATAGTTCTGTTTAAATTACAGTCAGATTCAGAGCTTCATTGTTAAATTGGTTTTTCAATCTTTAAAAACAATACTGTTACCAATAGAATAATTAGAACTAGAACAAAATCAGCAGTTCATAAAGTTCAAAAACTTTATCATTTTGTCCTACTGCTATGTACAGAAACCCTTCAATTAATTACTCGTGGTATAAAGCAGCATTTATATTTCTGAGTATCAAGCGTATCTTCTATATACGTATATGATACGCTTGTGCTCTGTTTGATCAGTTAAAGAATGATAGAAATGCCAAGGCAAACAGTCACGACTGATGGCTGCTCCGGTGATGTATTGTCCTGATGACAGAAATGTGTGTTCATTTATCCACATGTGTCAGCCTCCATGCTGAGGAGACAATTTTACAGATTGATAGCAGCAGTTTGTCATCATGCTCACCACTGAAACTGTCACACATCTGCACAGCAGACAGGTTTTCTACATGGGCTGAGGTGCGTAAATCTGACTGGTTGTGAGGATGTATGTAATGAAGTTGGTGAGTTATATTCTGCTGATGGAAGTCAGTGAAGGTTAATTGTGGTCATAGGGAGATTGTTGACCAGCGTTGGTTCTTCAGATGGACTGAGTCACTACATCATTGGAATACTAGTCACTGCAGAAAATGTTTTCATATTTTACTTTTTAAAATATTATATTAATCAAATGTTGCAGATGGTGGATAAGTTTGTCAATACACTAGGGACATGATGGTGTGTGTGTGTGTGTGTGTGTGTGTGTTGGGGGTGACCTTAAAACTTTAAACTTTCCACAAGATCTCAAAAGGACAGAATTAAGAACACCAAAACATCAACCCAGAAAAAGAAAAACTCATGAGTCAGGAGAACGTGGAAGTAATGCTGAGTCCTGGTGGACGTGGGCTGTTTGTGGAAGTCTGTCTTTACGCCTGGGTCCTGACCCACACAGAGGTCACTGAAGGCCTATGATGTGATGTTTATTTTGTTTTATTTTAACACTTGTGGATTGTGGAAAAAGTGAGTTGCAATAATGATTTGCAGTACTTGGGGTCAAAAGGTCAACTTGATCTCTGAATAGAAGATAAATATGCAGCTTCCCTGGTCCCTGGAAGTGATGATACCATGGAGAACCCAAATGGTGGTGGTATTTTATACTCGGAGTCAAAAGTTAGCAAATTATGAATTCTTATCAGTCAAACTTTGTGATAATTTTACACTCTTATTGAACTAACTTCTGTCTTTCCTCTTCATATCGTGTTGATTTGGATGCTCTTTTCTTATAGGAATGAAACTCGATGTAAGGAGCAGAGGAGACGACTCGTCAAGGTCACAGCTCCATATATGAATATTTACCGTGACATTTGCTACAGAGACCATTAGTAGAAGTGAAACAGTGACGGCTCTTTAAATAGGCTGCAGTGTAGCGCTGCATACTGAACAGGCATGATGAGCTGTCTGGTTCATGTAGTCTGGTCTGGAGGCCTCACAAAAGACTCTCACAGTACAGTGCTGTCACTGGACGTCACAATAATGTAAGTCTACAGCCATGTGAATCACAGCCACAGCCTTCACTGTGCCGTAAAGGCTTTATTTACTGTACGTGTATGGACTTTGTTTAGTTAAGAGAAGCATTATCCCCATGACTTTTCAGTGGTTTCACTGTTGACTACTATCTAATGTAATGATGTTTAATTTCTTAATGCTGAGGAGCGGAGACAGAAAGTCTGAGCAGAACAATGATTGGTCATATTTCAGCCCACGTTGTGTTGACCACCGCTGTCCATCAGTGCTTTTTACGGCACCAGCGCACATATAATTACATTTCCCAGTAGTTACCGGTGCCCTTGACTCATCGCTGAGTTCAAACCTGGTAGTCGATTACTAGATAAAATAGGAGGCTGTGCTGAGCTCCTCACTATAGCAACGTTGAGTCATCAATCACCGGGTATTATCAATCTACTGTGCGTTTAATCCTTCTTAATTAGTCATGAGAAAAAAAAACACAATGAATTCTTTAAAGAAAGTATACTCTACAAAAATATTTCTGTAGGGCCTAAAATGAATAAATCATGTGTACTGATTGAAGTCTGTTTTTGGTACCAATAATTGGAACAAAACCTGGAATTAAAAACTGTTCCAGACAGAAAAGAAAATTTAATTGTATCTATAAAATTAAATTAGTAAAATATACATACATCATGTCATTAAATTTGAACTATTTGTGGTCTCATCCAAAAGGAATATTTGGTCAGAATAAAACTCAACTTTGTTTTGAGATACTTTTTTTAAAATTAATTGATTCCTCAATTGTCCCTAAAAATAGCAACTATATTTGGCTTAACTACTTTACAGCTGCTAAACAGCCCTGAACTCAAAGGGAGTCAGCACTCGAGCTTGATGGACTTTATTAACATAATGACATCAAAGTCCAGGAGAGGAAAGATGTTCATAAGGAGGATAACGCCGACTGAAAACTGAGACATTATCTGGAGATGAAAGTCTTTCACTCTCTCTCTTCTTGCTTTTATCCCAGAGGACACTGTGGGCCCATTCTCTGCTAATGCTAATGATTTGTTGCCTTCTTTAGAGATCAGTCATTAATCTGTGCAGGAGCTGCTGTTTCCCATCATTAGTCCTGAAGGTAACAGTGACGAACACCAGGAGGCGGCGTTGATGATCAGGCTCCAACATTTTTACAACATATGTTTCCTCCTGTCCAATCAACATCCTGGCACTTGTTAAGGTGAGCGGCTCATCAATCCTCCCCCACAATTCACTGTGGGAAACTAGATGTGGGCTTTTGACAAAAGTAAAATATCTTTTATATCTACTGAGCCACCAAGCTAGTAAGATATTGATAAAACTATTAATTTCACATATTTATTTTTCATTGAATTAAGTTTTTTTTAACTTATAATACAGTATGTCAGTAGTGGAGGATATCCTGTCTTTTTATTTGCAGGCCATCCTGTGATGCGCTGGACTATAAAACACTGACCTCCACTGGAACGTATGAGTACTGCCAGAGCTGCGACAAATTCACAGTGCGGCAAGCATAAAGTATTTGTTTACTATTTTATACAGTGAATTCAAATATCCGCTTTAAATAGTATTTACTATCTGTCTGTTTGACATATTTAACACATATAAACATAGTCACATAGTATTATTATTATTAGGTATGATGAAAAAGATTTCTAATTGACTAGGCAGGAAACAACACCTGTTGAAGGATATTTCTTCAGTTGTCAATTAATGACACAACAAATGTAAATTACCTGAACTTTATCGGAGTGTGTGTGTGTGAGGAGTTTTTATTATGTTGCAATAAGAGAGGACTGAGTCAAACTTCCTCTTTCTGTTGCATTCAGGAAGTGGCTGTGTTCAACCCCCGGCTGCAGCCACTTAACGTTCTTATCTCTGTCTCAGGCCCTGAGGGTAGGCTCAGTTAGACCATCACAAACCAAAGTGTAATTTGTTCATTCCATTTACCACTTTTAGAGGTTTCCTGTCCGAGGTGGTTGTCTGGTTCTGGCTGCAGAGTAAACACCTGTGCGTTGCACAGGTTTGGGTCATGTGTTCAGTGTTCCTCCTTTTAGTTTATACATTCTGTGATGGCTGTGCAGAAAGTGTTTTTTGTTTTTTTGGCCACACCTTTTGTGTTCAGATCCTCTTTACTGTCATGTATGACCTTTGATATTTGTTGAAGTGAAAAAATGAGATTGCGTATGTGTACTAAAATTATATTTAGTTTCCACTGGTAAATCATACAATTTAAAGAGATGCATAGAGACAAATAAAAGTATCTGTTATTTAATTTAAAAAAAATGTTGTTTTTAAAATCTACTCTAAACTATAATTTCCTTCGCTCCAAACATTTATTCCAAATATATGCACAAAATGTATTTTAACACAATCATTCAAGTGCTGTTCTTTTTCCAGGTCTCCCTGACATTATGCAGGACTATGAGAGGCACGCAGTCAACACGGCAAAAGTCTGTTTGTGCATATGCTGCAACTACTGCTGGCAAAAACTGTAAATAATAAGCTACACTGTACAAACTTAATGCTAATTATTATTATTATTTTATAACATAAATGTATATACTGTATGCATGAAGATGACGATCCTGCCTTACGGTTTTATGGTTATGAGCAGACGTTTCTGTACGCTTCATGGTTGAATCTCGTATTGCCCCTCGGTGGCGATAAAGAAGTCATTAAGAAGGTTCTGCAGGAAGTCAAAGGTGGGTCGTTCCTCAGGCTTTTGTTTCCAACACATCATCATGAGATCATAAAGTTCCTGGGGACATCCATCTGGACACGGCATCCTGTAGGATTTGTCCAGATTCCTGATCACCTCAGTGTTGCTCATCCCTTATTAGGAACAAACGGGAGCGGTCAGTGACAAATCCTTGGATATACAGTATACTCTACTGTAGTAGCATCAGGTATAGGAGTGTACTCTGATAGCCTGATACTGTTCATACCTGGGTATGGTATTCTTCCATAGGTTACTATTTCTGTCAGCAGAATACCAAAAGACCAGACATCTGACTTGATGCTGAATGTGCCAAAATTGATGGCCTCTGGAGCCGTCCACTTGATGGGGAACTTGGCGCCTTTTTGTGGGATAATCAGTGACAAGTGAAGGTGTCAAATACAATAATTTACAATTTGTGCTTTGTGTTTTTACTACTAAATACTGCAGTACTACTACATAAAATCCATCTCTCTTTACTATCTTCAGTAGGAAAACATTAGTCGGGCCAAATTTTTCAAACCTAGAACATAAGCTGGGCAAGTTCAGTTTGGATGAATGTCAATTTTAATGTATTATAAATTGCTAATTGTGTTTTGGAGCCTGAGGTTTGAATTGTCATTCACTTCATGCACAGTTAACACGTATAGTAAACTGCTAACACTTCCACACACAGGTGATGGATTGTAGTTTGCATGTTGCTAGGCTGTAGCACAATGTTATGTTTATGGTCTGCTGGTTTACTGTAAGATGTTCTCATTACATTCCTGTTGAGATATTTGTTGATGTTTGTGAAATGACTGGGCCACTCTGAGGTTGTATCTGGACCACATGTGAACCGTGGGCCACTATTTGATTAGTAACAGTCTAAAACTGTGACATTTAATGTTAGGGTCTGCGTACCTTCCTGAGCTGTGTACTCTGACTCGATGATGCGGGCCAGGCCAAAGTCTGCTATCTTACAGTGCAGGGTCTCATTGACCAGGATGTTGGCTGCACGCAGGTCCCGGTGGATGTAGTTCTTCTTCTCTATAAACGCCATGCCTTCAGCTATCTGATGTACAAAGAAGTTGTTTGAAGTTTTTGTTAATCATGATTCAAACTGTTGTCAGTGGAAGATCACATAGTCGTAGTCTAAACATAAGAATACTTTATATATATTTTCAAGCATATTAACAAAGTCCTAGAGTTCTTAGAGTTTAAAAAATCAAGAATTTAATTTAAAAAGAAATATATTTAAATCTAAATGTCTTTCACCTGTGCAGACATGTCTATCAGTTTGTTGAGCTGCAGCCTTTTGCCGTCATCTGTTTTGAGGAAGTCAAGAAGACACCCTGCAATTGAGGAAAAAGAAATAGCAGTTAAAAACACACGACTCTTTGGTCAGTTATTGGTCTTATTATGATTCAAACACATTTGTGGCCGTTCTTGGTTTTTCTCAAACATGTAGAAACTCTCATTCTGTCCGTACCGTTGATCATAAACTCTGTGACGATGAGAATGGGCTCCTTGGTGACCACAGCGTGCAGGCGCACCAGTCGTTCATGCTGCAGCTGCTTCATGAGGTTGGCCTCCTGGAGAAAGGCCTCGGGTTCCATCGTGCCTTCTTTCAAGGTCTTGATCGCAACCTTCTGCTTGTTCTTGTAGAAGCCTACACACACGGTTGAACAGTTAATTGGAGGTACGACTCTGTGGGTTTTTTTGTGCTGTGAGTCTCTGTCAGTATCTTACCCATCCACACTTCTCCAAACTGACCAGCTCCGAGTTTCCTTTCCATCCTTAACGTGTGCCTGGGAATCTCCCACTCGTCTTGTGCCCAGGGCAGCTGAGGGGCCTTGACCTTACAGGGGGCGTACAGTTTCCGACACAGACCATCTGGGGTGCCTGCGCTCAAATGATTTTGATGATGTCACTCTGTGGTTTTTATGCTTCTCACACACATGAACAGTCTCAACGGTTGAATTGGTGATGCATGTTATTTTCCCCGGAACTAAATCCAAGTGCTTTAGTTACATGACGCATATTTTGTGTGTTACTTACGGCTGTAATATATAACCAGTTCCTGTAAGCTGGGGAACGGGGTGGAAGGAGCGATGTAGTAGCCACCTTTGTCCATGCACCGGATCTTGTAGTGTTTTACCACATCTCCTTGTTCAGGAGTGTGATCTCTAACTGATAGAGAGTAAGAACCTGGAGAGGGAAAAATACACATGGGAGTAACAAATAGACTTTAACTTATTGACATGGTTGTGTGGAAGCGTTTGACTGGCTTTCAGACTCACCTTTGACGGTCTCACTCTCTCTCACCACAAACGAGCCTGGTTTATTTCCAGGAGCCAAAAGTAGACGTTCAGTTTCTTTCCGACTCAAGTCTTTAAAGAACCACCTACAGAGAAAAAGATAAATATTTAGATTTCCTTATTGGCCAGTTTACACATTTTCATTATTTTTAGTCTAAATTTTACAAATATTTTTTTAATTTTAATAATTTTCATGCATGATCAAAATCACCTTCTCAGGACTGGAGCTGAGCTGAGATTTTTATTTTTTATTTTTTTTTAGATTTTTATTTTTTCTTTATTTTTTTAAGTTCAAAATACAGTAATAAATACAAATAATTAAGTTCATAATACAGTTTCATTTTGTATTTTTGCTTAATCATAATACAGTTTCATTTTGTATTTTTTTTAACACCAATTCAAAAAATAATGCATTTTGTTTTTACATTTTATTAAGTTGAATGCTGTAGCTGATATGTGCAGTATCTGTATTACTGTACTTACTTCTCCACCTCCAGAGTATCTGCCCGGGCGATATAGTTACATGGCACCAAGCCTTCTTCTCCTGTTACCAGGGATTTTGCCAGCCACCATTCTCCATTCCTTTTCACACAATAAAACAAAAAATGTGCAGTTTCTTTCCTGATAATGTCCAGGTGAACTTAGCAGACGGTGTTACTAGTGATGGGAATTTTGAAAAGTATGGTACTTACTCTTTCAGAATCTTCAGTCTGTCTCCCTTTTTGAAGGACAGAGTGCTGTCACTGTTGTCTTTAAAGTCGTGCTGTGCCACGAACACAGCGTTACCTGAGGTCCAGTGGAGCAGAGAGTGAAAATTGGTAAATAGATTATAATGAGTGATTTTCTTTACCGTACAAACTTAAATTTCTATATGCAGGTTACAGTAGACTTTGAAAAAATAAAATAAAATAAAGCCTGTTTTTCCCCCCACAAAGGGACTTTCTGTGCTGTCCCCAATGTCAATTATCTCCACTTAACACAAAACTTATCTTTCTCTCAGAGGACATGAGAGGAAACGAGCAGAGATAACGATCTCTCTCCTCTTACAGCTATGATAAAGTATGGTACACATGAACAAAAAAAGGTTTTCTGGTGAAAAGTTATTTCATTACCATTATCCACGTTCTTGTTTCCACCTTGTGCCTAAAAACGCAAAAAGCAGATAACTTAAAACTAGTATAGTTTCCCGAATCACAGAATAATAACTTGATTTAAAAAAAAAAAAAAACATACTCTGTGATTCGCTGTCCAGTGTGTGTTTTTTTCTTTGTGAAACTCTCTGTCATTTGCAAGTTTCTGGCCACTGCAAGCGGTGCCCATCCTGAGGAGATCAGAAGTGAAGATAACTCATCATGTTATAGTACAACATAGCAAATATTACCCAACAATAGGATAGATATACAATGTGAAGTGGTAATGTGAAGAGTTTCTGCTGGGGAAACAGCATGTTGACTTGTATGCATTTTACTGTACCTGACAGACACACAGCTGATTTTAATGACACACTGTCTCGTCTCCACTCCTCCTCCTGCAGATCCTGGCCTTGGAGTTCATGCTCGCTGCTGTGTCCAACACAAATGTCAGTAAATGAAACCTTTCTCTCTGTTTTTTTAAGTTTATTTCGCTTTTTGTTCTCACAGATGCACTCTTAAAGCAAATCTGCCTCTCATTTCAGGAAGTGGGGAGAATGTTATTGACTATAAATGGCATCATTTGCATTTGCCTTTCGTCGCACAGTGTCTCAGTTATGAGAGATAAATAGAGGAAGAAAACGCTGCCCAAAATAACTGATAATGATGCAGATGGAGAGTTCTGATACCAGTCTGTTGGTTTCTGCTTCAGCGTAATACTGTCATGTCTTTTTCCACTCACTTCATAATGTGACGCTGTCGTTGTATTTCACAGAACAGCTTTTATTACAACTTTTAAAGAGACAGAATATTTTTAGATTGTGCTAAATGTTAAAAGATATTTGAACATTTTTGTAAAGATTTATAGTAACTGCCCAACCTAAAGCTTGTGTTTTTGGAGGCAACAGACTGTATTGCCTAGTATAACTATTAGCAAGTTTATAAACGCATGTTTATAGTTAGACATTGCTTGTGATTCTGATCCTTTATTTTTTACTATTAATTGAGGGTTTATTTTACAGTATTGAGAAGCTTTTTAATGATTTATTTTAAAAAGTGTTGCTTTTACTTTTACTTTTGAATGGTTTTACTCAATCGC